TGACAAACTTATGTATCTTCCCTCTTGTTCGACAAACACCTGTTTGGGAAATAAGAGCAACAGAAAGCCCGAAGTCTCAAAACTCAGAGCACGAATTACAAAGAAAAGAGAGGAGAGAAATACTCCTGGATCACATAGGTAAAGCTAGTGAGGATACCATTGTTCCCTGGAATGCCACTACAGCACTACCTCTTAAGGATGAACACCCACCCAGAGCTCCCAACGTTACCATTGATCTCCCTGACAGTATAACAGGTGAAGAACCTTTAACCCTTAAGGATGTTGATGAGTATCAAGCTGCAGTGTCATTCTCACAGTGCTCAACAGGTGGTTCCAGAGGTTTATGCTCATAATACATAAAGCAGATGTTCAACACAGCACTTAGGGATGTTTCAGATAGCCTTTTGTATGAGTTTCCTGGATTTACGAATGTGTATCTGGCTGGTGGTGTCACTTAGGGACCTCTTCATCTTTGCATCATTACGCGCACTAAAAACATGAAGGAGAAATAAGGCCCAGTGAGGTTGGCAACTCTCTGCGACGCCTTGTTGGAAAGACTGCAGTGAGAACTGCGGGTCATGAGTCTGCTGCAAAGCTTCATTTAAGGATTCAACAAGGCTAGGGTCTATCTCAGTAGGGGGTATGCATTGCTAACATGACATATCGAAATGTCCTGATTAAATTGAACTTTATGAGTGAATTTAACTTAGAAGGGATGCTGTTCTCTGTGTAGTTTGCAGACATTTTCCTTCAGTCTCTCGCATTCATCCAATCGTGTTATAGTGGTACTTCTGAACTCCTGTTTGGTGAACATGAAACCGGCTCATGTGACGGTGTGCTACTGGGATATCTCCTCGCCCTTCTTCGTTTCTGTCTGGCCATCAACGAAGTCTTAGGAATTCTGTCCAGTGAGCTCAACATCCGCCTTGCACTATGGATTCCGTCCTAGAGGATACCAGGAAATAAAAAAAAATATTGGGAAGAACCTAGGCCTAACTTTAGACTTAAAGGAATGTGAAACATGGGTAAGACACATATGCAACAGTTAGGTATCTTTATTTCGAAACGTTTCGCCTACACAGTAGGCTTCTTCAGTCGAGTACAGAAAAGTTGATAGAAGCAGAAGATACTTGAAGACGATGTAATCAGTCCATCACCCTTAAAGTTTTGAGGTGGTCAGTCCCTCAGTCTGGAGAAGAGCATTGTTCCGTTGTCTGAAACAATATGAAGTTGAAGTGACAGAATGGGGCTTTATATAGTGCCAGGAGGTGAGACGTAGGTTGCTTTGGGAGGGCAGGTCCCTCTCAAACCCAGCCGTTCTCACTAGTAGAGGTTGTTGAAGTTGATGGTCTGTACCAAGATACCCTTGTGTTGCAGTGTCTGACAGAATGAACATTAAAATGGTATAAAATACCGACAGATTGTTAGGTAAGACACATATGCAACAGTTAGGTATCTTTATTTCGAAACGTTTCGCCTACACAGTAGGCTTCTTCAGTCGAGTACAGAAAAGTTGATAGAAGCAGAAGATACTTGAAGACGATGTAATCAGTCTCACCTCCTGGCACTATATAAAGCCCCATTCTGTCACTTCAACTTCATATTGTTTCAGACAACGGAACAATGCTCTTCTCCAGACTGAGGGACTGACCACCTCAAAACTTTAAGGGTGATGGACTGATTACATCGTCTTCAAGTATCTTCTGCTTCTATCAACTTTTCTGTACTCGACTGAAGAAGCCTACTGTGTAGGCGAAACGTTTCGAAATAAAGATACCTAACTGTTGCATATGTGTCTTACCTAACAATCTGTCGATATTTTATACCATTTTAATGTTCATTCGAATGTGAAACAGTTTCTCTCAACCGTCAGATCATTGTGATATACGTACCGTTTTTCCAGGAGCACGAGTCATTGGTCCAGCCAGGAGTGCTGTCCTTGGTGCTTTTTTCAGGTCCAGTGACACTGATCGAATTCTGGCGAAAACGTCTGTGACCTCAGGATGATGGAAGGAGGATGTTCATCCTTCCCAGTGCTCAACTACTTTTTGAGATGCTCCCCAGCCTTGCACAGTTAGAAACTCGAGAAGTCAAGGACTATAACACCTAAAGTCCAGCCTTGAAAGAATACTGAACCTTTCCCTGGAAGGTGGACAGGGGATGCAAGCTTCACTTGCCAAAGTTCTCTACCAGTTTTTTTTATCATCCTCCATAGTATGGGACGAGTAAATATAGAAAATTCTTCCAGACGACCTGGGGAGTTCAGCAGCTGTACAAGATACTAGCTGCACCAGAGCCGTTATTGATAGTCTAGGAATCTCACACTTGTCAGCGCAGAAATCAGTTACAATGATGGTGTACAAACAGTCTATTTAAGACAGCCTCATTGCTTTTGAAAAGGTGAATAACAACATACTCGCTTAAAGCTGTGAGTATACATCAGTCTGGGAATTTCCTCCTAACAGTTCCCATTTCCGTAACTGGTACACGTCTCGATTTGCAGACTCTTCGCATTTCAGTGGCTCACCGACTTGCTGCAGGAATTCACAAAGCATCTGTGTTTTCGGGGATGTCGCAGCCGACCAATACTTTTTACATGGTCTAAACTGTTCTAAAATCTAGGGTCGGCATGCAAGACATAATGAAGTCAATATTATCAAGAGAAGACTCACTTTAGCTAGTTGCCCTGCTGCGAGACAGCCCCCAAAAATCGCACCCAAAAATCCTCTAATCGTGCTAACTACCCTGATGGTATCACAATTTATCCCTGGAAGAATGGCAAACTCTTAGCATGGTATTATACTTATGAGTCGGCTATAGACTACACCTTTATCCGTCAAAGCGTTTATTAGCAGGGAATATACCAATTCAGCAAATATAGGGGCTTGGGCCATTAGTGCCGATTTGTTCCAGTAGGATCGGAGACCCTAGAACCATGGGGAAAACATGCAATAGGTTTCCTAAAATAATAGTGAAATTCCAAATACTTTCGTGATTTCTCACATTATTCCTTGATAATGTGAAAAAGCATGAAAGTGCTAGGAATTTCACTTTATTTTCACTGTGGTTATTTTGCACAATGTGATACTACATGGTTAGTGATATTATGTTCAACAATTCGCAAACGGGCGAAATTTTCACTATATATATATATATATATATATATGTCGTGCCGAATAGGTAAAACTGGTCAGTTAGCAAGAACTCATTTAAAATTAAGCCCTTTCTAAAATTTTCTCTTATACGTCTAAAGGTAACTTTTTTCACTTATGTTAATGTAAAAAAAAATAATTTTGTACTAAAAGAACCTTAATATAATAAGCGCAATTTACTTTAGCCTAATCCAACTAAATATATTTTAGATAAGTTTACAATAATTTAATAATAAACAGAATGAAATATATTATTTTCGTTAGGTTCATAATGTTTTTTTGCGAAATTATTACATACACAAATTTTCGTTTGCCTTATCTGGCAAAAAGAGCGTTGATATTTAAGCCAAAATCGCAAGTTTTACCTATTCGGCACAATATATATATATATATATATATATTATATATATATATATATATTATATATATATAAAATATATATATATATATACGAGGATAGTGAGGCTCAAGTTAGAGTATGTAGGAAAGAGGGAAATTTTTTCCCAGTAAAAGTAGGCCTTAGACAAGGATGTGTGATGTCACCATGGTTGTTTAATATATTTATAGATGGGGTTGTAAGAGAAGTAAATGCGAGGGCCTTGGCAAGAGGCGTGGAGTTAAAAGATAAAGAATCACACACAAAGTGGGAGTTGTCACAGCTGCTCTTTGCTGATGACACTGTGCTCTTGGGAGATTCTGAAGAGAAGTTGCAGAGATTGGTGGATGAATTTGGTAGGGTGTGCAAAAGAAGAAAATTAAAGGTGAATACAGGAAAGAGTAAGGTTATGAGGATAACAAAAAGATTAGGTGATGAAAGATTGAATATCAGATTGGAGGGAGAGAGTATGGAGGAGGTGAACGTATTCAGATATTTGGGAGTGGACGTGTCAGCGGATGGGTCTATGAAAGATGAGGTGAATCATAGAATTGATGAGGGAAAAAGAGTGAGTGGTGCACTTAGGAGTCTGTGGAGACAAAGAACTTTGTCCTTGGAGGCAAAGAGGGGAATGTATGAGAGTATAGTTTTACCAACGCTCTTATATGGGTGTGAAGCGTGGGTGATGAATGTTGCAGCGAGGAGAAGGCTGGAGGCAGTGGAGATGTCATGTCTGAGGGCAATGTGTGGTGTGAATATAATGCAGAGAATTCGTAGTTTGGAAGTTAGGAGGAGGTGCGGGATTACCAAAACTGTTGTCCAGAGGGCTGAGGAAGGGTTGTTGAGGTGGTTCGGACATGTAGAGAGAATGGAGCGAAACAGAATGACTTCAAGAGTGTATCAGTCTGTAGTGGAAGGAAGGCGGGGTAGGGGTCGGCCTAGGAAAGGTTGGAGGGAGGGGGTAAAGGAGGTTTTGTGTGCGAGGGGCTTGGACTTCCAGCAGGCATGCATGAGCGTGTTTGATAGGAGTGAATGGAGACAAATGGTTTTTAATACTTGACGTGCTGTTGGAGTGTGAGCAAAGTAATATTTATGAAGGGATTCAGGGAAACCGGCAGGCCGGACTTGAGTCCTGGAGATGGGAAGTACAGTGCCTGCACTCTGAAGGAGGGGTGTTAATGTTGCAGTTTAAAAACTGTAGTGTAAAGCACCCTTCTGGCAAGACAGTGATGGAGTGAATGATGGTGAAAGTTTTTCTTTTTCGGGCCACCCTGCCTTGGTGGGAATCGGCCAGTGTGATAATAAAAAAAAAAAAATAATATATATATAGGTTATATTATATATATATATATTATATATATATATTATATATATATATATATATATATATATATATATATGAGAGAGAGAGAAACATGTGTAAATAAAGAGATATATACAGATATATGGTACAATAAGATGTTATAACTTACTGAGGCAGCAGGAGAGCAGCAGCCAGAGCAGGTGTCTTCGTCGCCAGGGACCAAGTGTGGAAGACACCGTCATTGTGGCACTTGTGAAGATCCTTTACTTCTGCTGATGGTTCTTCTCCAACTATTATATTCGACGCACTTTTTTTTTCCTTCTTCTGTAATGTTTTTGTGGTTTGTTCTTGAGTTTTTATCTTTTAAATGTTTTGTGATATATGAAATAGTTTTAGTCTTTTTTTTAGGGGTGGAGGTGATTTATAAAGTCATTTCCTGGTTCTTACTAAATATCTATGCGTCATTGCTTTTATTTTTTATTTAAAATGACTTTAATGTGTAATCCCTCATTCCTTACTACGGTATTATGGTGTTCTCCAAGACTTTGGTGTTATAATTTTCGATTTCTCTTAAGGTGTCAGGATTCTTTTTTCTTTCATTTGTGATGCTTAATAGTCATCTTAATTTCATTTATAAACGTCTGAAAATCTTGTATATTTTTGCTTATAGAAAAAAAAATATTTCTGTATGTTGCAAATTCTTGCACAGGTTCAAATACTCTGCTAAAATAAACTCAATATGAAATGATATTTCTTATGATTTAAAATTCCTATTGCAATTCTTATATGACTAAGGCACAAATTGTAATCATATTTTTACCCTTAAATTCTATTCTGAACCTTAAGTTTTTCACATGGGAACTTGTGTAAACAACGTTTAATCAACTAAACTGACAATATTGCCAAAACGAACAACGTTGTCTGAAGATGAAACTCCAAGCAAAGAAATCCTTTACGCACTTGAAATCTCGTACCTGATTGGAGGCTTTTAACACAAGCTGCACATACTGTTTTGGTAAATATTTGTGCTGTTTTCCTACTCTTTGTAGTTGAAGATGCTGGAGGCTGCTACCAGGAGGGGAAAAATGAAGGATAAGAATTTTCTGTTCCGTTTTTGTTATATCAGCCAGACAGAGAACATTTTTACTGTCATTTTTGATGGGGCAACAACCCTGCTGCAATGTTGACAGGAATTTGTTTAAAGGAGGAGGATCAGAGTATGCATTAATATTGGGTTCAAATGTTTCAGTCATGAATAAGACGTGTACAACTCAAACGATATTTTATTTTGCTGACATAAGATAACAATAACAAAAAGTGCACAGATAACCCGTACATAGGAGACGGAAACTTATGACGGCGTATCGGTCCGACTTGGACCATTAACAAGTCACAAACTGACAGACGAAGGTAAGGGAGCCAGTACATATACGAGAGGAGGACAGGAACATGACAAAGAGAGAAGGAAGTAGGAAGTACTAGTTATTTGTGTAGTGTTCCAGTCACCGTCCTTTTGTTCTTTAGCAAAAAATATTACGCGTAAAAGTAAATATTTAATAATTAAACAAATAATTTTTATTTACCCAAATGTGTTTACACCGAATCATTTACATAGGGATTAAAATATCCTTAACTTTATTATCCAGGACTATAGACGTAATGTGACCTTGATGAATTTTATGTAGATGAGAGGTAGTGAACCTAACAGACTTACAATTGCTAGTACTGTAGTTGATAAGTTTTTTCTAGATAAGTTAACTGCTACAACTTTCGTTAATAAGTCTTTAACCTATGTAGCTAGCAACTGCTATTATTTAGCTGATAGTTCTTGAACGTAACTTGCTAACAACTGCTATTATTGTAGTTAATATTTCTTGAACCTAACAGGTTAACAACTGCAAATATTTTAGTTGGTAGTTCTGGAAGCAAACACCTGCTATTATTGTGGTTGACAGGTCTTCGTCCTAACAACGTAGGCATTTGCTGTTACGTTCTTGAACCTAAAAGGCTAACAACTGCTACTATTGTAGTTGATACTTCTTGAACGTAACAAGCTATCAATACAATTATAGCTAACTAGCTAACAAGCTATCTAGCTAACAACTGCTGCTAATAAAGTGTTGATAAGTCTTGAGACTAACAGTTTAACAACTGCTTCAACTATATTGATATCAATAACGAAAATATACCTGCTATATTTATATTTATTATAATTACGATTTATTTTATTGACAAAATATTGGTTTACAATGCTCTGTATGGAACATTGTAAACCAAACCTACGATGAGAAGTTAAAAAATGACAATATATCGGCCATATTTCGAACATTATCATGTAGCAGGTAAGAAATGGAAAGAAAAACATGAGACAGTTCAAGACAATTGAAGTGAAGTGATAACCAAGGTGAGGTTAGGTCACATGTGTCTTGACAAATTATCTGACAATACTAGAACAAGCATCTATATAAATAATGTCGGGAATAATATCATGCGACAGATTGTATTACATCTGATTAAAAAAGCATCTGTCAAGGGATAGGAAGACAATTGTGGAAGAGTAGGGACGACTGGAACAGACATTAGCCGATACTTAACAGAAAATTATTTATTAAATATTCATAAAGAATCGCTAAACTCGTGAAGGTTATACAGTCACCGGGGAATCTAGAGTAATCAGCTCTGATCCCAAGAGGTTGAGGACAAGAAATCTTTCTGGAGCATCAAGGAATCACTCACGAAGAAACATGACAGAAAAGAATGTAATGTTAGATAAGGTTTGTCATCAAACAAGTGTTTCCTGGCGCGGGTCTAAGTCATATGATGACAAAGAGCTGGAGATTTTGATCAACTGACCGAGGCCTTCCGCTGCCTGACCGGTCCATCCCTTTAAAAAATAGTCATTATAACCATTATTTTAAGGCTGTAGTTCACGTCAGCTACGCGATTAATTTCGTGTAAATCTTATCGGAAACCAAGCGGCCATTTTCATCAATGTATTGAAGGAAAATAATTAAAAAAAAAAGCATGAGGTTGAAGTTCGCTAATTTAATAAAAGGCAGATTTCATATCCGTTGCAGAAGAATGACTAGTTGCAGTGGACGCTCACTAATTTGATAAAAGATTTTACATCCGTTGCAGAAGAATGACTAGTTGCAGTGGACGCTCACTAATTTGATAAAAGATTTTACATCCGTTGCAGAAGAATGACTAGCTGCAGTGGACGTCACTAATTTGATAAAGAGATTTACATCCGTTTGCAGAAGAATGATAGTTGCAGTGGACGCTCCTAATTTGATAAAAGATTTTACATCCGTTTGCAGAAGAATGACTAGTTGCAGTGGACGCTCACTAATTTGATAAAAGATTTTACATCCGTTGCAGAAGAATGACTAGTTGCAGTGGACGCTCACTAATTTGATAAAAGATTTTACATCCGTTGCAGAAGAATGACTAGTTGCAGTGGACGCTCACTAATTTGATAAAAGATTTCATATCTGTTGGAGAAGTATAATCTAATTACAGTGAAAGTTCACTAATTTGATAAAAGGCAGATTTCACATCAGCTTATTCAAGAATAAAGGTGAATGAAAATCAGACTCCCTTATTCCGCTCCTTGAGGATCTTATCAGCCTTTTTATAGCACTGAATATCGTATTAATGGAATACCATCAAAATACGCCATCACAAATCCTGAGTAGCGACATGAAGTCGCACAAAATATAAACCAGTGCCACAGCCATCGTTATTGAGGATCTATTTACTAGATAACGTTCACTCCAGTGTCAGTAGTGTACTGGCAGACGGTCAAGGTCTCTAGTAGCTCTAGGCCTGTGGCCGTGTATGTTCTATAGTAGTGGGCCTGGGACCTGCACGACCACAGACCCAGAACTAGAGACCTCGACAGTCTGCCAGTACACTACAGACACCAGAGTCTTTTGGTAAGTTCACTGGTCAAGTCTTTATAACATATCTTGAACGCATCCTGTTGATTCTTGAACGTACCTGTTCTAGTTGAACTTATTATTTTCGTATAATATTTCATATATTCTTCTTCTATTTTTATTATTATTTTTATTATTTGTTTAAAATTATTTCCATTACCCTTAATAATAATAATAATAATAATAATAATAATAATAATAATAATAATAATAATAATAATAATAGCATTATTATTATTAATATAATTATTATTATTATTATTATTATTATTATTATTATTATTATTATTATTATTTTCCCAAATTAGAACAGGGAAACGTGTATACGGTATTATATATGAACGTAAAAATTCTCTGTACTGTTGTTACTCTTTAATTATGTAAAACTCTGCTTACTAAAATACATCTCTAGTGAAATTATTGATTAAGTCAGAGTAGCAAGTGATTATGCTTCACAAAATTGCATTAATGTGGTCTATGAAAAAGGTTCAATGTGTGTCGATCCCTTATATCTGCTTACTGAGCATGTGTTAAGTCTGATGTGCCTAATCCCTATGTCTGATCCCTGTGTCTGTCCCCCGTGTCTGTTCCCCGTGTCTGTCCCCCGTGTCTGCTCCCCGATCTGTTCCCTGTGTCTGTTTCCCGTGTGTGTTCCTTGTTTCTGTCCCTTGTGTCTGTTCCCTGTGTCTGTTCTCTGTGTTTGTTCCCTGTGTCTGTTCCTTGTTTCTGTTCCTTGTTTCTGTTCCCTGTGTCTGTCCCCGGTGTGTGTTCCTTGTGTCTGTTCCATGTGTCTTTTCCTTATTTCTATTCCATGTGTCTCTTCCTTGTTTGTTTCTTATTTCTGTTCCCTGCGTCTGTTCTTTGTTTCTGTTCTCTGCTTCAGGATCTTACCAACTCAATCATCTCTCCCAGCGTCCCATCCCACTAATTCATCTCCTTCCTCTTCTCTCTCTTTGCCTTCTATCCTCTCTGACCAATCACCTTCAATCTATGCCAGCCTTGGTTCTCATCTAACAATCCCCTCCATCCCAATGACCTTCCTCCATCTCCCTCAATCTCCATCAGTCTTCACTTGGTCTGGGTGGAGAGATTTTTCATGTAAGACGACTTCAGCGAGGCTTCCAAAACAAGGAAGGGTTTGAAAAAAAAATCTGATGACAGAATTAAGCAGAAAATTGTGCTGTTAAGTGCAAGTTTAACGAAGACCAGGATACATAAATATTTAGTTACGTTTATGGTATTATATATTATATTGTTATTTATTAATATAGACTTCTTTTCTTCTTCTTATTATTATATTATTATTATTATTATTATTATTATTATTATTATTATTGGTTATTATTATTATTATTATTATAATTATTATTATTATAATTATTATTATTATTATTATTATATTATTATTATTATGACCCTCCACAGGCAAAGCCTGTGGAGGGTCATAGAGAGGAACGACCCGTGGAAAGTTATGACACCTCTGTTTCCTTGGATCAGAAGCCTTTCACCGGCATCAAGGAAATTTCCCGGGAGGGAGTTATGCGTATAAATATTCTGCAAAAAGATAATAAAAACCAGAGTTGAAAAAAAGCGTTGCTGAATAATTTCCTTAAAATATTCACGTCTCTCCAGCTGATCTATTATTCTTGTACGTCTATTGTTTTAAAGGATATATATATTTTTTTCCTTCCTATAAACCCTAATTCCTCCTTTCTTCTTCCCCTGTTTTCACAAT